TTTATAAAAATATATTTATAAATTTAGAGTTATTATTATTAAAAAAAAACAAATTTATTTTGATAATAAAATATTCGAAATTAAATTAATAAAATTAAGGTTATATTAATATTTGTTTTAATTAAAATTGAAATTAAAATTAATTTTTAAAAAAGAATAAATAGGATAAAATTATTACAAAAAATAAAAAATAATTTTTTTTTAAAAAAATATTTTAAAAAATTAATTAATTTAATATTAATTAATAAAAAAAGAATAAAATATTTTGTTAAAAATATAAATATAATAATTATTATATTTTAAAATATTTTATAAAAAAAAATAATAATAAAAAAAAATTTTTATTAATATTAATAAAAATATTAATTATAAAAAGAAAAAAAATGGATAAAAAATTTATTTAAAAATTTATTAAAAGATTTAAGGTTGATATTATTAATATCAATATTATATTTATAATTATATATTAATTTATAAAATTCGAAAATTTCGATTAGGATTTTTAAATAAATCTTATATATTATTATATAAAATTAAATTTTTAAAAAATAAATTTTTTATATTTATATTTAAGTGATAGATTATATAGGAAAAATTTAATTCGAAAAAAATCAAATTCGAATTTTATATAAAACTTTAATTTATAATTTCAATAATTTTTTATAATTATTAAAATAAAAAAACTTTTTAAATATTATTTAACTCAAAAAATATTATATTTATATTATTCTTAATTAAAATATTAAAATAAAATATTTTTTTAATAATTAAAAAAATATTATAAATTATAATAATTTTTAATTTAATAATAATTTTCAATAATAAAAAATAATATATTTATAAATTAAAATTATAATATAATAAATATTTTTTTAAAATAATATTTAAATTTTTAAAATTAAATAATAATTATAATATTATTTTTTTATAATAATAATTAAAAAAATATTTTTTTACTAACTTTTTTAATTAAACTAAATAAATATATTTTAATTTAAAATATTATTAAAAAAATTATATATATATTATTAATATTAATTATATTATTTTGAAATCAAATTTTATAAATTTTATATTTACAAAATTTTAAGACTTTTTTTTTATAATAAATAAGAAAATTGCAAATTATCTTTTAAATTATTAATTTTAAAATTATATAATTAATTTATAAAAAAATATTATATTATTATAAAGCTTTTTTTATATTATAATTATTAAAAAAATAATAATATTTAAATTATAATTAAACGAAATAATAAAATCAAAACAAATTAAATTTTTAAATTTCAAATATAATATTATCTTTATATTTATAAACAAATTAGATTTTATAAATTTTTTGAAACTAATAATTAATTATTAAGTTTTTAATAAAATTATTATTTTAATTTATTATTTTATTTTTTTTATTAATAAATTATAAATAAAATTAGGAATAATAAAATAATTTATTAAAATTAATTTAAAATCTAAATTTTTTTTGGTATAAATTAAAGAAAAAAATAAATAAAAAACAATTTTTAAATATAAATATAGTTTTTTCGAATATTATATTATATTTATAAAATTTATTAATATTTTAATTATTTTTTAAAAAATAATAAACAAAATTTTTAAAAATTTATTAAATTTTAATGTTTTTATATATTTTAATAATTTTTTTATTTATATAAAAATTATTAAAAAATATAATAAAATAATTAGAAAAATATTATTTCGCTTTTTGGTTTACAATTTTGTAATAATTTTTAAAAAATATAAATAATAAATAAAATATATTAAATTTTTAAAATTTGAAATCGATTTTGATAATATTAGAATATTTTTTAACAAAATTAAATATTTTTTTGAATAAAATTTTTTTGAATTTTGAAAAAATATTAATAATTTATTGGTTTTATTAATTTTTATAAACAATTTGTTTTTAGATTCTTTATAATTATTAAGTTTTTTATAAATTTTAATAGTGTAAATAAAAAAATATAAAAATGGATTGAGGATATAAATAAAATTTTTAAATATTTTAAATAAATTTTTATTTTAGTTTTTATTTTTATATATTTTGATTTTAAAAAATTAATAATTATAAGTCAAATATTTCGGATTATACAATTGTAGGAGTATTTTTTTAAAAAGAATTAAATGGTATATTATATTTTATTACTTTTCATTTTCGAAAGTTTTAATTAATTGAGATAAATTATAAAATTTATGATAAAAAATTTTTAATTATTATTAATTGTTTTATTAAATAATATTAATATTTAGAAAAAGCAGAATATTATATTAATATATATTTTGATTATTAGAATTTATTATACTTTATTATTATAAAAATTTTTAATAGGAGATAAATTTGATGAACTGAATTGTTTTTAATATATTGATTTACGATTTATTATAAATTTAATAAATTTAATAAAAAAACAAATATATTATTTTAGCTATTTTAATATAGATTTAAGAAAAAGAAAGATAAAAATTAATTGATTATAATAGTTTTAAGTTTAAAATATTTTATTAAATTATTAGGATTTATAATATTTATAATATTTATAAAAATTTGTAATATATCTATATTAAAATGATTATTTAAATTTATAAAAAAAATTAAAAAAACTATATAAAACGATTTGGAGTATTAAATCTAAATTAATTTTTTAAGAAAAAATATTGAATTATAAAATAAATTTTTATATTACAAAAACCATTTATAAGTCCCTAATAATCTTTATAAAAATATCTTTAAATTAAAATATAATATTTTAATTACTAAATATATAAAAACAAATAAGATTATAGAATTTATTATATATAATTTTTAATAATTAAAATTAAAAAATTTTGTTTAAGAATATATTTTAAATTATTTTAAATATTAAAAAAACAAAATTTTAAAGTATGATATATACAAAAAATTATAATTTATTAAATTATATTATAAATTATAATATATAATTATAATAAACTTTATTATAAATTTATTTTTATTAAATAATTATAATTTAATATGGGTTATAATAAATTTTTTTATTAAAATAATATATTTTATTTTATTAAAAATTAAGAATAAAAAAACAAAAAATTTTATTAAAATCTTTATTAGAATATATTAATATTTATATAATATTTCAATAAATATTATGTTAAATTATAATTTATAATTTATTTTAATTATTTAAAAAAACTTTTTTAAGTTTATAAAAATTAAATTAAAAATAAATATTTTTTTTTATTTTTAAATTAATAAATAAATAAAACGTTTTAACTAAATTTTTAAAATATATTTTTAAGTCTTTGTTAATTACAAAATATCAAATTAAAAAAATCTTTTAATTATAATTAAATTTATTTATAATAATTTAATATTTTTTATAATAAAAATATCTTTTTTCTATATAAATTATAATTATAATCTTTTTATATATAATTTTTCAATTATATAGATATATAATTTAAAAAACAAACTTTATATTTATTGAATAATATAAATATATAAGAATATTAAATAATAATTAAAAAAAAGTAGATATTGTATAAAGGAATAGGCGAATAAGAAAAGACAATTTGTCTCGAAATATAAAAAAGAATAATTAATAATATTAAATATTAAAAATATTAAAATCAAATAGTTTATTAAAAAGTTAAATAAAAAAATGTAAGGATTTTTTAAAATCCAAAAAATAATTTTTATTATTATTATTATATTTATATTACCTAAAAGATAATATATTTATAACTTTTTTTATATTTTATTTATTAAATTTTATTATATTAATAATTAGGAATTACCTAATTTTGATTAGATTTTATAGGAAATAACCCTAATAAAGCCTAATTATATAATTAAAGAAATTATAGATTTTATCAATATTAAAGATAATATAAAGTATTTAGTTAAATGGAAAAAATAATCTATTAAAAAATATTAAATATAGAAATTTTATAAACATTTTTATAGCAATAATATTAAAGAATTGATATTAGTATTTTATTAAATTTAATTTTTTAAATCTATGAATAAAAAAGTTCAAAAAATTTTTATAGTAATTCGAAACAAGTTTTAAGAAAGAAAAAGATTGTATTATATAGATATATTATATAATTACAGGAAATACGATACAAAAATATAATATAGAAATATAATGAATATAAAAAATGAAATTATTATATAAAATATTATTTTAATTAATATATTATGGATAAAAGTATTTTGTTTATTAGATTATATAAATTTGTATATAAACTTGAATATTTTCCTTTTCAAAAAGATAGATTGAAAATTCAGAATCCTTAGGAACCCTAAAAAATTATTAGTTAAATTGAATACCTTTCCAAGCCATTATACCCTTGTCATATAAACCAACCCAGAAATAAACAATCAAACAAAATATCCAGAAAACAAATATTGACAAAAAGCAATTGATCGAAAGAGAAGAGAGAGAATAGTTTTCCTCGCATCATAGCCGGCTGGTATGGCGTATATAATATCGAGAATTGATGAAAAATTGACATGTATCTATTGGCTTACTGTTGGTTTGGTTTACGTATCAATAATATAATGAGGATTGTAATACCATCAAGATGGTTTTCGAGATGCTGTCAGTAAATAGGTAGTAGGTAGGTATGGAGTAGGAGAATTATATATATAGATGTGATTTGATGTGTTGTGATATCAAAACTATGGTGGGTTGATATAGGTAGGTATGAATTTCTATCTTGTATTCGATTAAGGTTATCGATAGTAGTACTTAGCATATGCGCATTAGATCAGATTAGATTAGATTAAATCCAAACCATCAATTTTCTCTCGTATTATACTTCTATATCTATAATCTATAACATGAACAGAATTAATAGATATATCTCTCCTTTTTCTAAAACATCTTATACACCAGATCATTTTCGCACACATTCCTAATTGCGAAAAACCTTATCATGTTGATAACAATATATACCCTAAAAAGCCCCCACCAAATCAATACTTTACGTAAACATCCGGACAGATGACCGAGTGGTTAAGGTGCCAGCTTCAGGTTCAAAACTGATATTCGTGAATTTCATTCATGCTGGTGTTGCAAGACTCGGGGGTTCGAATCCCCCTCTGTTCATATTATTTTTTTGGTCTTTTGGATGTTTTTGTTTTGGGTTTGGAGAGGTTGTGGTAAGAACCTCGGGAGGATTCGTTTTTTTTTTAATGGCGGAGGATATGAAGATTCTTTATATTGACTGCGAGGTTATTTTATTACATCCTTTGTGTATATGGATGGGCCGAGCTTCATGGTGGGGTAGGTATGAGGGGTTTGGTATAGACTGGCCCCCTTTTCTTTTTTCAAGGCTCTCTTTCTTTTCCTTCGGTTAAAGTTGCATAAGTCTTAAACTGTTAGTGGTATTTTTAATGATTAAAAGAGTTAACTACCTAGTAGATAGATATAGTATTCAAACTACTAATTTATATAATTTGCGGAAAATTTTGTATGCTGAGGGTTACATTACGCTTTCCAACCTGTATATATTAGACCTTTAGTAATAGTTGTAGATTGATATCGTTACCTTTTTGGAACACAATATACCCTTTAAGTTATATCATAAGCTTTTTAACTATGTTTAGTTTTATATACTAGACCTACATTTATCACCCATATACCATACAAACATTCTGCCATTTTGCCTAGGTTTTCCAATCCGAATCGGTTTGGTTTAAAACTTTCACTTGAATTTATGTTTGTTTAGTTTACGCCCATATGTTTTTAGTATTTTGGAAGCGTGAGTTTATCTTTATCTTCTACCCTATTCTTCTACTAGAATGACTGATTCGGTGAGGAAAAGCTAATAGAAACGGAGGGCGGGGGTAGGAAGGGTAGGAAGGGCAGGAAGAATAGAATAGAATAGAAGGGTAGAAGGATAGTGTTGGAATCACCTTCTTGGTATAGTATATTGATCAACATTATGTATATAGTATGAAGTTGTATATCGATTGAAGATCGATATGTGCAGGGCTTACATGTCTGCTACGTGTCAGGGGGTAATGACCAGACACTACCAATTAGCTAGTATTTAGGAAGGAAAGGAAGCTTTTCTCTTCATAGTTTTCTAAATACGAACTCCGATATCAATGCCTTCAGTTCCTCGTCACACTCTTTCATACTACGTGCGCGGATAGCCTGTACGCGGCCGGGCGCTCTAGTGAATCTACTATGCCTAAGGCTGCGTGTAAGATTCACTACCTAGTATTGCGATAGATAGAATGATGGAATGGTGGAATGGTGGAATGGTGGAATGGTGGAATGGTGGAATGGTGGAATGGTGGAATGGTGGAATGGTGGAATGGTGGAATGGTGGAATGGTGGAATGGTAAAATGGTAAAATGGTAGAATGGTAGAATGATAAAATAATAAAATAGTAGAATGATAAAATAATAAAATAGTAGAATGATAAAATAATAAAATAGTAGAATGATAAAATAATAAAATAATAAAATGGTAGAATAATAAAATAATAAAACAATGTTTATATCCACCAAACCGCACGGCTACAAACTCCCCTACATAAACCCTCTTAAGCCCCACGCTTCCAACTCAAACAGCATATCACATGATATGATCAGCCTCGGTGGCACAATTGGTTAGCGCGTGGGCCTTTTAAGCCCAAGGTTGAGGGTTCGAGCCCCTCCCGAGGCGATTTCTTTTTGCTTTTCTCTTCCTTTTTTCTGAGGGGGTTTTTATTTGGATTTTCGGGGTACGGTACGATGAAGGAATGAGATGAGATAGATAGGATTGTAATAGCCCGTTGGGAGTCCAGCTCGCGGGCTCTCTCTGTCTGAGCTGGTTTGGTTTGTGGATCAAAATAGCGTCGGTTGGGTATCCACATTTCAAATCTTTGGCCTCCACCTCATGGGTTGAATTTGAATTTGAATTATGGGTCTAATGAGGCATTGACTTTATGATCAGGCAGACAAATCACTTTCACTACCTAGGTAAAATCAAATTCGATTATTTGGATAGGTAAAAAGGTTGTTTTATTCGTAAGGAAATCGATTTTTTTTTCATTTTGAAGCTAAATGTATCACATCAAATTATTTTTAACTTCACTTAACAATATCTCGGTATAAAATGATATTCATTTTTTATAATTTAGTACCTAGATAATAACAATATTTAGACTTTAAATGATATAATTCTTATCGAAAGATATTGAAGATTTGAAATTTAATTAATGATTCAAACTTGAAATCTGTAAACACCCTTTATTTTTTTTTTTAATAAGCGAATACATATCTTTTTTGAAATTCTATAGCAAATATAAACAAGTTGGATACTAAACACGAACTCTATTTCAAGCATTTTTTGGTGTGATTTATAAGTCATCTTACGAATTTGTATGCCTGCTTGTTTCTGTATAATCAGGCCAGCAAATACATACCTAGTTAATTTATAAATTCGCAGGACGCCAAACAGGCTCTTACTTTTGTAGTGTGGCCATGACCTCACTGGGAATAGTCGAAAGGGAGAGGAAGGTCTTACAACGATGCCCCCTCAACGATGCCCCCTCAAAAACATAAATCTATTGTCTAGGTGAAATAGGTACTTGGTAGGTCTTTATATGGGTATAGTACTTTTCTCCTTGAAGAAATATTAATACAGTATCTCAATAACAAATAGGAAAAAGAGAGAAACTTGAACAGCATTGCGGAGTCAGTCCCTCCCCTACCCCTACCTACCTTAAGTCAATCAAGGAAAGCATTGCAGTACTGTACTGTATTAATTCTCGGCAAACTTTGCGAGTCATAATACCTAATCTGATCATTATTGTAAATGATCTCCCTCCCATTCATTCATTCATTCATCCCTTTACATATTCTTTCTTCAACAACTTCGCTCGTGTGACGATATGTTACAATATTGCCTGCCATTCAAATTTAATAGTATGGTATAACAGACCATTTTCAAATCATAGATCGACTACAAGTCTACATTCACGATTATATGGAATTTCGACGGCAAAAATCTCCATACTTGTGGGATGGAGGCCGATGTCCACCGTCCCCACAGACAGGTATTGTACTCCATGTCGTCCACTTGGACCCACCCATATGGTGGGTAGGGGAGGAGACTCCATTCATTATTTTATACCTTGCGATAATCATTGACTTCATGATAGGATATGATTTCTTTATGTTGGGGACTGTAGTCTGTAGGTACAGTATAAGAAAGGAAAGATAGAAAGAAAAAGGAAGAGGAAGGAGAGGAAGGGGAGGTGAGGGGAGGTAAGAATTAAGAAATCGATTGAATACTGACTGTATTTAAGCGCTATCCCTTTATTTGATTGGATGAACTGTGGAGGAAGAGTACTACTTACTGTATGTAGATGCCAGCTGTAGATTAGACGGATATTGCTGTTTGTGAGCTTTATAAGTAATCTACCCCGCAGCGCATGGTATTGATCTGGCTGGCCATTTACTGTATTACGAATCACCTATGGCAGTTTGTTTTGGTGTGGCTGGAGAAAGAGTGGCTTAAGTCTTGCACCCATCTCGCACCCGAATCGATCCTAATTAAGGTTTTCCGAATTATATTTAAAACATTCTTTTTAGGGTTAAAATACAAATTGAAAATCTTTGTATAATTTATATTTTATATTTAGTTTGATATAGTTTTATATTGGAATATATTTAATATATAAATTTTATATTAATCGATAAAATTTTTTAAAAGTTTTCGATTAATATAATTTATATTATAATTGAAACTAATATTTAGGTTCTATATTAGATTAAAATTATTATATAAATTATAAAATCGTATGAATATATGTTTATATAAGTATACTACGAGCGTATAAATTTATATAAGTATATGTGTTTATAATGTACGTGCTTAGAGGCTTTAACATTATTATTTTTTAAAAGTTTTATAATTGGTATAGATTGTTAGGTTTTTATTTAAATTTAATAAAAAATATATTAATTAAAAATTTTAATTATAATTTATAATTTGATATTAATTTTGTATATTTTATAAAAAATTTAAATATTTTATATTGATTTTAGTATATTAGTATAATGAAAGTATAACTAAAATTTTTAAAATATTGTCACGCCAAGGCCCCTGCCTAGTATGACAGTCACGTGATTGATCATGTGACCACCATGGTTATATGATTAACGTCTATATTAGATAGTGTTCTTTTCAAAAGGATTTTTTTTTTTTTAGTATAGTTTTTTTATCAGATTGTATATCTATAGTTTTATTTTTATAATTTTATATAATATATATAATATAAAAACTATATTTATTTTATTCTATATTTTTGTAAAAAATATAAAAAGTTTATAAAACAATTTTATATTTTAAAATTTATACTTTTAAAAATATTTTTTAATAATTATTTAAATGTTTATAAATATTTAATTTTTTAATTAAAGAAATACAAATTTGCAATAAATTATAACAATATCGATTTTATAATTATATAAAATGATTTAAGGATATTATAATAAAATTTTTATAATATATCGAAAAACAAAATGGTTTTAAAATATTATAATAAAATTTTTACAAAATATAAATTTGTAATAATTTATAACAATAATAACTTTATAAATTAAAATTTCAATATAAACAAATTATTCGGGTTATCAAACAATAATAAATTTTATATTATAAAATATTTATTAAAATATATAATTATTAATTAAATATTTATTTATATTTATTTTTAAATAAATTATAATAAACTTTATATAACAAAATATTTATTAAAATATTAATTATATTTATATATTATTAGTCAAATATTTACTCATATTTATTTTCAAACAAATTATAATAAACTTTGCATTTATTTTTGGATTAATATAAAAAACTTGTTTTATTAATAATAAAATAATTTTTTTATTTATTTTTATTTATAATCATTTTAAAATTAAACTATTTTTTTAAATAATATATTTTTTTAATAAAATAATAATTAATTAAATATACTTTTTTTAATTATTAAAAATTTTTTTTTTAATACAAAATAATTATAATTTATTAATAAACAAATATATTATACCATCCATTACACACAATTTTAATTTTATTATAATTATACTTTTATTTAATAATAT